CTGCAGCTCTGGAGCATCCTATCTTCAGTAGGAACAGCACAAGTGTCAGGATCCTTGTCATTTTGAAACTTGGTCTTTTAAACAATAATGAAAATGGAAGTCAAAGTGGCAAAAAGTTTACAAAGCAAGATTACTGAAAGAAAGTTTTGAAAACTAAGCACGCTCTGTCTTGAAAAAAACACTTTGAATAGTAGCTAGATATCAATGTCATTAGTCCGGTTATTTAAAGGAAACTGAGTAATTATCAAAAACGTAAGCAGCAACAGTACAAACATGTAAAACACTGGAGAGACTAGAGAAGCAATGGGACCAGCAACCAAGAAAGACAAGTTGTTAAATCACCATCATATTCATGGAGACTATACATCAAGTTATGGGATATGATTTAACAATATTGAAATCAATCCTGACATTACATAGGAGCAGAGACTAGAAGAATCGGTAGAGGAACATTTATTCTCACATATTTCTGTGAAAACTCCCGAAGATTGATTTCATTTGGTATAACCTAAGTGATTTCTTACTTTCTTTTTTTTTATACTAACTGTATTATTATTTGATGTTGATAAATTACATGGTTTTATAGTTTCCCAGAGACAAAAACTAAACAGTAATGTGCATTGGGAGCAAGCGACTTTCTTTTCAATGTCAGCACACTTCACGGCACTTTTAAGAAGCTTAGAAAAGCAGAAAGTTGTGTTTTATAGTTACACATTACTGTAACAAAAACTATAAAGACTGTGTTATTGCATTATGAGATAAAACTTCTGTAATATCAGTATGCTAGGGCCTCAAGCACCCCACATCACACTGAGCTACCATGCAGGGCAACAAGCCATTTTCCTACATGATTGTTCACAAGAGGGGAAAAAAAAAAGTTTTTTTGATTTCTGGGGTTTCCAACAAGGTAAGATAATCAATGATGCACTCATTCTGTGCCAGATCCTTATAAAAGCTAGAGCTTTACTCCAAAGGACCCAAAAAAGATTATTTTGTGATGTTCTGCAAATAAAAGCAGTGCTGTCAGTATGGAGAATTGTCTGCATCTGATCTAGCTGTAGCCTTTCTTCATGTATTTTGTTCCTTCCTCTATTTTACCCCATGTTTCCTCTTTTCTCCTACTACATTTAAAGATATATATTAAACTGTGGAGAAAAAAATGAACATTTGCTTCACATCATAAGCCATTTTTTCCCTCATCATACCTCTGTCCATTTCAGTATACATATTATTCCTACTCTCTTGTAATACTTTCTAGTTTCTCTTACGTTCTTTTGACTTAGTTCTTTTTTTTTTTTCTGTAACTTTGCTGCCAAAAAAAGAAAATTGAAAAAAAGTCTATATTTTGGTAATAATTAGTATTTTATATTTTGGTAATAATTAGTATTTTAGATATTTTCCATAGCTGACTACACTCTCAAATCTTTACGTTTTTGGAACACATATAGGTATACACAGAAAGTACTAGTCAATATAGTCTTGATTCTGAAAGGGCAATTTTTTACTACCAGATACAATGAAGTTGAGAATCTTCTGCCTACCTGTACACATGCTCAAACAGAGCTCTAGGCTTCAGCTTGCAAGGTTAGCTGGATCAAATGTAGGCATCCTTGCAGCATCCAGTTGTCTGTGGGTCACACGGTGCATTTGGGACAAGCCTGTGTTAGTGACAGTTGTATTCTGAATGATAATTAACATCTTTCTTGTCCCCTACACCAATTCTGCCAATGATTTTAGAATGTTTATTATATTCAGCTTACATTATCAGGGTTATGACAAAGCTTTCAAGTTCCTGGAGCCCACAACTGTCTGATTTTATTGTAAAAAATACAGAAAATGCCATTGTTCTCTCTATCTGGACCCCTATATAGGCCCTTAGTTAGTTCCCTGACTGGATCAGATGATTGCAGGTGCAATTCCCACTTGCTCAAGCAAGTTCCAGTTTAGCACTGCCAGGAGTTCAAGGGTGGGAGCCATAACCAATTCGCCAGTTGCTTTTGAGCACACCAGGTCACTGGCCCCACACGGCACACAAGCAGCATGAGCTTAGAGCAATCCTTCTTTCAACTCTCTAGAAGTGCAGGCTCCTCTGAGGGATTCAGCCTGCAACGCTGGCCTTTCAGTGATTCACATCCGACATCGAGCTGAGCTCCGTGCTCTGCCCAGGCTCAGGATAAATCACTTTGTGTTAGACACCTTGATCTTTGTACTGCAGTGAGAAAAACTGTTGTCACCACACATAGTTAGTTTCAGCTCCTGGCTGCAAGTGTGAAAGCTTGGGGAAGCATAAGGTCCCCTCAGCTATGCTTTACAGATTCGTGGCCATCAGAGGGGATATGCCACACAGTATGGGGCTCCTGGCCACCCAAGCAATGTTCACAGCATCCAGCCCTCCAGATCCCCCTTCACTACTGCACACACAGTGCTGAACACAACCGGCAACCAACTTCCCTCCAGGGACTGCCAGGTGAGCCTGGGCACCCGCAGTAAAGGGCTGCTTTGACACCCACCACTGGACTTCTGCTGGGAGCAAAAAACCCAGACCAAGCATCTCTAATTAAACTTCTTGCGGTTACTGCCAGAACAAGAATGGTTTTCTCATGGTTTTCATCGAGCTATTTGATTTCACAGAGGGGTTTTCAAAGCCCTCGAGCTGACGACGGCTAACAGTCGTGGCGCTAACGGTCGCTGCACTTAACGGCCGCGGGCGCCCACGCAGCCGCCACCTGCA